TACTACTGCTATTACTACTACTACTACTACTACTACTGCTACTACTGCTGCTGCTTCTACTACTACTACTACTGCTGCTGCTACTACTACTACTACTACTACTACTGCTGCTACTACTATTACTGCTACTACTACTGCTAATACTACTGCTGCTACTACTATTACTGCTAATACTACTGCTAATACTGCTGCTGCTACTACTACTACTACTGCTGCTACTATTACTGCTACTACTACTGCTAATACTGCTGCTGCTACTACTACTACTACTGCTGCTACTACTACTACTACTACTACTACTACTACTACTAATACTACTGCTGCTGCTGCTGCTGCTGCTACTACTACTATTACTACTATCACTACTACTACTACTGCCACTACCTCCATATCCAGTCTTACCTCTACCATTACTACTTCTCGTGATCCTGTCCCTGTCCGCTCGTCTATATATACTGGCTGTCTCCATCTTTCGTGTTAGTGTGACTTTGTAAATGGTCCAAAACGGACCATTTACGAAGCTTCTGTCTTCTATGTGCGAGTTATTTGTGTATATTTAATGATATTTATCCCCCCGATCACCTTAGAGTTTATTTTCAAACATTGTCAGTAAATAATTGTCGAAGCTTGACATTCTAATACCCAATAGTCGTAGATGATTCTAAATATTCGTAAGAGTTGTATGGTTTCATATCTAGACTTCTCCCTCTACGGGGGATGCCGCAGGCGGGCTACCAAATGGAGAAGACCCGGGTCAGGATGTCCTGGCCAATCTAAATCTAAATAAACCTACCTATAACTCACATTGAGGATTATCTTAGGGGATTTTTTCATTGCGCAAATTAGTGGAAACTGGAATTTCTTCCCATACAAGTTGCCAGTTCGGAAGGTCATCTGAACTACGATGCCAATATGCTTCTGGCAAGACAGGACGGGAGTGAATGACGGTGAATGTGTTTCTTCTTCCTTGGATAACCCATCCTCGATGAAAGACGGCCGGTACGTTAATAAAAAAAGTTTTTTAAAATATTTAAGCCATCGTATATTGCAATTAGGAAACACAGGCATTACCACACCAGTGGTGATATTTTGGTTCTCGGGAGCAATATTTCTCGTAGTAAAGTGAGACCTAGTTGTCTGATTACCACACACACACACACACACACACACACACACACACACACACACACACACACACACACACACACACACACACACACACACACACACACATATATATATATATATATATATAATATATATATATATATATATATATATATATATGCATATATATATATATGGTATAAACCTTGGTAATAAATACCGACAAGTTGGTTTAGAAAGACACGTAAGCAAACACTACGACATATTTATTAGAAAACGTTTCGGTCCTGGGACCTTGATCACTTCTAACATACAGAGGTAGAAAGACATATATATAGGCGGAGAGTGAGGTGTGAGTGACGCATGGTGACCTGAAGAATGCCATGGCATTCTTCAGGTCACCATGCGTTACCATGCTATTAAAATTTAAAGTCTATCGTATACTTATCCATTTCTGGTCACACAATGACGATAAAATTAAGATAGAGGGAACTCTGAAGTTTTATTCTCAAAGCCTTCAGGATATGTAGCCATATTAAGTTTCTTAAAAAGGACAGCTGGATTATCAAAGATATTTTTTGGGGAACTCTGCCCATTCCATCGAGATTGCATAACAAGAACATTTAAAGATCATTAACACTCCATGGTTGAACCATCCCCATTAACTATCCCAGGTTAGGCAGGTACGACAAATGTCGTACCTGCCTAACAAAGGGTTAAATACAAGCAAGATGAACATCACACCATACCACGGGTGGGATTAGAATCCGCTATCACAGAGTCTCAAAACTCTTCACCGCGGGTTTCAACCTCACCCGTGGTATGGTTTGTTTGCAATCGTGTCATTACGATTTCGTGAGTCAAGATAAACATCACTATCAGTGCGTCTACCACAATGAAGGATATCGCCAGCAGCAAACAAGCAACGAGATAAGCAGAAAGTTTGGATGTACTCAGTACCGTGTAATGGTTGTGGTAAATATCTACGTGGAAGAGCAAAAAGCCACAATGCCGTGGTTGAAAGAATTCACCAAAAGCCCTGGACAATAGTCCTGGATGGATCGAAACGTCGAAATAAGGTTTCTCTCCTAAGTTCGCAATGCACATCAGGGAACACTTGTATGCATGTAGAAGACCTACACGAACAATTAAAGTGTTATTCATCAGGACAAACACAATCATCTTAAGAACAGGAGAGAATTTACATTAATCGTCAAGGAAGGAGACAGAAACAGAATTGCATAAAATTCGATGCAGTCATCACTTCCAACACCAATTTCAAGGAAGCTTCCAAACAGAGAGACATTTAGTACATCATCTTCTTGGCAGACCCAGTGAGATCACAGACACGATACAATAAACTAGTCACCCGCACCACCTCACTCTCCCACATTTTTCCCTGGTGTTTAAACTCTGAACTTCAAGTGTGTGTGTGTGTGTGTGTGTGTGTGTGTGTGTGTGTGTGTGTGTGTGTGTGTGTGTGTGTGTGTGTGTGTGTGTGTGTGTGTGTATTCACCTATTTGTGGTTGCAGGGGTCGAATCTTAGCTCCTGGCCCCGCCTATTCACCGGTTGCTACTGGGCCCTCTCTCTCCCCGCTCCGTGAACTTTATCAAACCTCGTCTTAAAACTGTGTATGGTTCCTGCCTCCACTACGTCATTTTCTAGGCTATTCCACTGCCTGACAACTCTATGACTGAAGAAATACTTCCTAATATCTGACTCATTTGTGTCTTCAACTTCCAATTGTGGCCTCTTGTTTCTGTGTCCCCTCCCTGGAACATCCTATCTTTGTCCACTTGTCTATTCCACGCAGTATTTTGTATATGTGTGTGTGTGTGTGTGTGTGTGTGTGTGTGTATGTGCTAAACTTGGCTGTAGAATCATGTTCAGTATTTTAACAGTCAGTCCCTACATTTACATGTAGTCCAACTATACCA